TAAATGTTATCTACTTTTACTTCAACACAATTACTTTGACCAAGTCACATATGGATCTGCCCTACCAGTCACAATTTTATATATTTGAAAATAACATGAAATAATATGAAGATTATGTCAGCCTAACTAATAATAAATGCGAAAGCGTATATTATATATTTTACAACAAAAAAAATCTAGCTTGAAAATAGTCACAAATGGCAAATAATAGTTGCACAGCACTTAGAAGGTGTTTGGTTTTATTTCCAATTGATTACATTCTGGAGTCAAATGTACCACCAGTCACAGTGGAATGGCCCAGATGAGGAATAAAACCACAAATAATACTTGTATTAAAAGTAAATGAAAATGAATTACAAATGCACATACGTATATATCACTAACCATTCTCCAAAAAATTTCCTTGACTCCAAAAAAATTCCCAAAAATATTGAACTATCAACAATAGAACTAACGGAAGAAACTTGCTTACCGTATATGGCTTTCTAACCACTTTGCTTTGGCTTTGAATTTAATTCATAACTGGCCTCAACCAATACGAAAAGCTTTTAAAAATTGCTGCTGAGATACATATGTACATACACACATACAAAAATATACCAAGAGAGCATGTGGAGTGAGAGCGTGAGAAGTAGGAGCAAAAGACTAACACTGCAGTCTACATAAATTGATTACTGCTCTTTGCCGTTTACCTTACTTCTTATTAAAAATCGAATCGAAGCCATTTATCCACTTTGCTTTTATTTTGTTGTAATTGGCTTTATTGGGCATTTCGAATCGCCAGCTCCGGCCAACCAATGAGTAAATGAGCAGCAGTGCAATCAACAGCGCGGCCACAATCTTTTCTTTGCAGTTGCGGTTGCCCGTGGCTGATCCATGGAAGCCTTAGCCGTTGCACTTGGCTAGTGTGCGCGCGCTCAGTAGTATTTACTGATTTTAATTTTGGTTTTTATTGGTGTTGCTTTTGTATTGCTCTTGTTTTTTGTAATACCTTTTATTTTTGTTTTCTTGCTGTTTCTTTGCTGCTTTTCGGTGCCTTTTTTTTGCAATACCAATAGTCTGGCGGGGTATCTTTATGCAGAAGGTCAAACTGACGCCACCACCGAGTGAATTGCGACCACGTTAAAGCTGTGTATGTGTATTCGCTGCTGCAGGTGTGAGAATGTGAGTATGTATCTATATATGTACGTTTGCTTGCTCTTTTGGCGGTAAGCAAAGGTGTAACTGCAGTAGCTTTTTCGTGTGTGTTTGTATGTATGGCCATACGGTGGTGCGTGTTGCATTTAAGAAATCAGTAGCGAATTGGCAAGTTTGTCGCTTCGGTCTTTTGTTTAAGTTAATTAATTAATGCCTGTGTTTAGTGACGTAGGAATACTTTGTGGGTCTGCGAATGGAATTCATATCGAATTTAATATCGAGGGCTTATATTCAATAGACTCTATCTGCAATTTTCACAAAAACTACTTTGTGAATTTGGAACCCATCTGGGACTTACCTGTAATAACTGATGTTAATTCTGACTCTGCAATTTAATAGTAAAATCTTCCGTAAAGTGCTATAGAAGAGGTCAACATTAATATCACCGATGACAGTTAAGTCTGAGGTGGATTTTTATATCAGAATGCCATTTTGGTGAAAAGTGCAGATAGAGGGTATGGAATATAAGCCCTCGATATACTACATCGCACGTTTAATAATATAGAGATGTAACTCAAAATTTACATTTTTAGAGATTTTCTCATACAATTAATAAGCTTGATAAGTAGAACATGTTCAGCTTAACAGATGGCTAAACTTCCCAAAGATGGCGAAGGTATTGGTCCTTTTAACTGCCTTTTTGTATACAAACTGTATGAATTGATCAAACTTTGATTGCGTTTTCCCACAAAATTGAAATTTTGAAATAGTTTTGTATATTATTAAATGTGCGACATATTACATTTTTAAATTTTTTGGCTAAGAAAGTAAATTTATTACTACATGGAATTAAACATTTTAAAAATTTTGTATCTGCCAGCAAAATGTAACCGAAATTCTCCAGTTACTTCAAGTCTCTCAAGTCAATATTTTCGGTAAGTGTTTATTGTCGCTTGATAGCTATTTATTGTATACGTATATTAGGCTGGTCCTTAAAATCAAATGAGCGATTTTTTTTCGGTCTCTCCCCATCAGCCGGTGATTCCACGGCCCAAGATATCACATATCAATTTTGGTCCCGATTGGAGTCGGTTAAAGGCGTGTCGCAATGGGGTCCAAGGCCAGATGGTCTTGATTCTTTTTTCATTTAATACCCAAAATCGATACCACTAAAGTCGAAGATATCACATAACGGTTAAGACGTCTTCATAGGGTAATCAGAATTACGACACCTGTGCGCCACGCCTTAACCGACTCCAATCGGGACCAACATTTATATGTGATGTATTTGACTATAATAGCATCGACTTAGGGGTTTAGGCTTTGGAAATCTGATGTAAAAATTGGCTTCGTACATTTAAGTACCCCCCTAATGTACATCGTCGTTTAAAGTACAAAACCGCGTATCAACAAAATGCAAAAGCGCATATGTGAGTTATGTAAATTATTTTCAAGAGAGAAAAACACTCACATTTGAAAATGGTTCTCTTTTTATAAAGCAATCGCATTTCTGGCTAATATACATATTTCAGGACGAATGGATAAGGATTCAGCCAAGAGCTTGTGTGAGCAAATCAAATTTTTGGCAGGGAATGTCAGTTATGTGTATGTATGTATATATGCCGCCTAACATTTTTTATGAAGGCAATTAAAATGCGCATTGCAACTCAGCTAAGTGCTTTCGACTTTGTATTTATTGATATCTTAAAAAAATACTTATGCTTACTTCAACAAAGAAGTCAATTCGAAAACGCCAATAGACTGAAACCACACAACAATTTGCTGTTAAAGCGGCCACAGTCGCACAACATTCAGTTCTCCTGCCACCTCTGCTGTTGCTACTAGTTTTGTGTTTATGGTTGCTGCCCGCAGTGTGACTTAGAATATTTACAAATGACTTGCATTGACGCGTGCGCATGCGCTCTCATAACGTTTTGCGCAACACTATGTCACCGATACCAATATAGTATGTTGGTATATTATTTGCTGATACATGTATATGTACATATACACACAAAATTGATATGTATGTGCGATTGTATAGCTGCAGTATAATTTAGGTGGAACTAGAATTGCCTTTGCTTGAATTGAGCTTTTCGTAACTGGTTTCGAACTGCTTGCAAACGGATACGCAGGGTTACTGAGTTCAGAAAACTGGCTGCAAATTGATAAATATAATCATTTCTCAGTATTTTATATCGCGGTACTACTCAAATCGTGTAATATTACAATTTACTGTGTACACATTTGCATATTTAGGAATGTCTGTGCAGTGCTAAGCCAGTTTGTGGCAAGCACGAGGAGATCAAGAAAACTTGAAATCAATACAAATATTTAGAATTAATTACAATACAGTCTCGCTAGCATTGCATTGATTCAATGTCTAATTCCTTACTGAGTACAAACTTTGCGAATTGTTCAAGGAAAATTCCTTGGGAGTTACTTGAAAGGTGAATATGTATTTAACTAATAGAATTATGTAGTTATTCTTTAATTGCTGTTTTTGTTGTAGTTTTGAAAGCTGCGTAAATATGAATAAGAAACAACTCTGACAGCGATAAAGGGGAATCATCGATCAGCACATATGTAGTTGACCGTAACAGCAACAATGAGCTTAATAAAGGCGATGGTAGCTACGATAAAACTATCTAAATATAATGATAAAATTATGGGTATCGATAATACATAGATAATTATCTATCGATAGCAATCGATAAAAATGACGATGATTGCAGTAGCGATAGCCATAGCTACAAATTCAATTCAAAAATTTTGACAAACATTTTTACAATGACATACCAGAGCAGGGCACTTAGGATTACGATTACATTTTGATTACATAGGATTGCGATTATTGTAATTGTAATCTAGAAAATGTTTTAGCATTCCGATTACTGTAATCGTAATCATCGATAAAAGTAAGTGGAAAAAATGTAATAGCCTAGCTATTTGGAACTTAATATTTGCAGTTATTTTCATCTTTTTTACAGTGTAAACAAAATATACAGTAAGTACTCCACGAGTTCAATTGAATAACTTCAACTTGCCTAAAATTGAATAAGGCTCAGTATTTCCTAAGGCTTGCTTTAAAAAACGCTTCAAGTGATCTCCATAAATGGAGCTAAATTGAATTGCATTCCACTTAGCCAGAAAATGTTTAACTTTGCATGCCAATTTTCAGTGCAATTTAATTCTATTTTATGAAGAATATACGCTTATGGCATATTCAATTCGAAACCCACACACGTAGTCACATAATTGTCACTGTTGTAAACAAATATGCACGCTCATGCACACATACATACATACCCACACACAGTTTGAGTTCATAAAGCTCAACATCGGTTCCGTCAAACCTGTCATCCCCACCATTGTTATTCAATTCACAGTCCATTGTTAATGTTTACCTACCCGATATGGCTACTGATTACTTTCAATATTTTCAAAAGTCATTGTTCGCGTTCTTTGTTTGTTTACTCAGCCACCAAGTAGCACCTTTTTGCGAATACTTACAGTACACTCAGCTTTTTGCGCCTTTCCATTAAATGCTGTAGCTAAGCTTTGTTCATAAATATATGAAAATATCTGTGTTCAAATGTTTGTTTGTCAGTGAACAAAATCAAGGGAAGCACTCTTTGTGACACCTGCTAACGATTTTATGAGTTTTGTTTGTTTTACAACACAAAAAAAATAATAATTTATACCCATGATGCAATAATGAAAGGTGTTATACGTTGGCAACTTCTCGCTCTAATCCGCCATCTTGAACTACCTTAGGAGAAACTGTGTTGTTTCTTTGCTATTTTCACTGAACATTTCCCAAAATATTAGAAAAAAATTCTGAACAAGCTACATTGATTCAATTTTCGTTGTTCGTTTTGTTCTTATTCGCTGACATTTGTTTTCCAATTGCGTGAAATTTGGTAAGTATTGTAATAAAACCGAATTATTTTACAAATAAATTATAATTTCGCATTTATTAGGTCATTTCCTTAGTGTTTCGCTGACCGACCTGTGCTGGTATTGTGATTAAGAGCTAATACACGTAAGTTACAACATATTATTTTGACTTTATTGCTGAACCATTCCATTTGAGCTCTTTGTTATTTCAAAACCTAATGAACCATTTATTCGCAGATTTTTCGGACGATTCTGCTGTGCTGCGTTCCTGCTCCGCCTGTATATTGCTCCGCCCGTATTTTATAGTGTTGCGTTCCTGTTGCGCCTTTGCATTAGTGTGTGCGTTGTGATTTAGACACGATGAAGTAAGTTGAAACCAGGTTCTCGTTTGGTAAAAACCTAAAAAACCATTTATTTGCAGATTTTTTGTATGCTTCTGTTGTGCTGCGTTCCTGCTCCACCCGTGTATTAGATTGCTGCGTTCCTGTTAACATACATATCGTCGCTTAAAGTACAAAACCGCGTAACTGACATTTGCTGCTAAAAATTGGATTCGCTCACACACGTTTTTGGATCAATCCTTATCCATTCTTCCTGAAATATACTAGCCAAAAATGCGATTGCTTTTTACAAAAAGATAACCATTTTGAAATATGAGTGTTTTTACTCTCTAGAAATTAATTTATGCAACCTCGCATACGTGGGTTTGCATTATCTCTATACGCGGTTTTGCAATTTATTGATACATGGTTTTGTACTTTAAACGACGATATGTATGTAGATGTATGTACATATATATCACATATATTGACTTAGATATGTATACACAATTAATGGTGTACATAAATTTTTTTATATTGAAACTAGATATGTATATAGTACATATTTTATTATTATTAGTCGGTTCAAAAAAGTCCTATCTCAAATAAAAATACTTCGAAAATGTGCTGAGATAGGGTGTTTTTGAACCGAGTTCCGAGATAGGGCATTTTTCAATCAAATTCTAAAATAGGGCGTTTTTCAGCCAAATTTTGAAATAGGGCGTTGAAAAGCTTTCTGATATCGGGCGTTTTCGACCTGGCTGCCGAGATAGGTCGATCTTCTACTCAGCCATCGATATATGGTCGAAGTTTTCGTTATATAGAAGACGATTAAACACGATTTGTTTTTAATCGATTCTAAAAAAACTAAGGTAATTTTTAACCACTTCAAACTTGCATATAATTAGACTAAAATTGAAGGGGCTATAAAACTGAGTGCTCCAAAAAATTCTAACACTTCTGAGAAAAAAGTTTGAATTTTGGTTGAAAATTTGTTGTATTTTTTGTAGTTTTCTACGAAGTTTTAAAATTCGGTTTATATGAGTTTTGTTAGAAATTCAACTTTACTTTTGTTGCAAATTCTTAGCAATAAATAAATTAACATGAGAGGGAAATAATATTACTTTGAAATGGGGTTGCTATTGATATGACCGATACTGTATGTATATAATAAATTTTGTACAATTAAAAAAGTGGATTTACTAAAATGAACACAACGTATTAATTACAAATTCTGAAATATGTCGTCAATTTCAAAAACAAATAAATAAAACTTTAAAAAGTAGTCAATGCTTGCTGTATGATACGAACTTGGATATACGTGGACTTGGGTAATGTATAATTCCTTATATGATTCCTCAAAGTATCCCTTGTATAACACTGTGGAACACAAAAAAACCTTAGTGCGACTATATCAGGTTTGATAGCTGTTGGCCATACCAATAATGCCTCATACTAAGATTTACTAGATCAATTCGTGTTCTCCGAGAAAAAAAATTTTCACGATCCAAAAATCTGAAAAATTGTTTTTTCTCCAAAGTTTGAACATTTATCGTTTTTGGCCTATATTTTGTTGAAAATACCATACAAAGCAAATATAGGGCAAAAAACAAAGAATTTTCAAAATTTTGAGAAAAGAATTTGGCGGCTATACTCAGATTTTTGAATCGTGAAATTTTTTTTTCTCGAGAACACGAATTGATCAAGTAACACTGAGCATGAGGCATTATTGGTATGGTCAACAGCTATGAAACCTGATATATGCGCAAAAGAAGCCTATATGAAAGAGGGGGACAAAAGATCACACGTAAATGAATTCCTCTTTTTGGCCTGTACAATATAAGGGACACATTTCAAATTCATAAGGGATAATTTTCTTAGTGATACGGCTCATAAAAGGAATTATATAAGCCATACTGTTCTAGCTGGGTATTCATCAGCTCGAAAATTTTAAGCATATCATATTCCTGTGAATAAAAACACGCCTAATTTTATTATTTTAATTATCTACAATTTTATGAGACTACCAAGCCATATATATACCTATTCTGATAATCGGAACGCTGTTGAGAAGGCATACAATTTAGTACTTTTTCAACTAAAAGGCTTTTTTTTATTCCCGTTTATCTTGTACTTCCAAAATACAATATTGACCTAAGGTAGTTCGATTTCGAGCTGTCACAACGTACAACACCTTTCATTATTGCATCATGATTTATACCATGATACAAAAAAGAAGGTAGTTTCATTTAATGACATTCCTTGTTGTTGTTAACCATTTGACTTTTCATAAAATTATGACATTTCATCAAATTCATGCTACCTGATCACTAGAAGAAATATTTTTTTTAAGCAGAAGATTTTATCTACATTCAAAGATGTGGAATATGATGAACTAGAAAATTATGCCGGCTACATGATTTTGAAAATGGGGTTGACGAATAGGTTTCAGAAAGCATGACAACTCATGTCTCAAACGGTTTTAGAGAAAATGCTCATACCGACGTAATTTACACCGATTTCAGTAAAGCTTTTGACAAAGTATGTCACTCGTTACTCATCCGTAAACTCGACCTAATCGGCTTTCAGCCCAGTCTTCTTCAATGGATCTCATCTTACCTCTCTGATAGAACACAAAGAGTTATTGTTAATAATTGTTCTTCAAACATCATTAAAGTTTCTTCAGGAGTTCCTCAGGGAAGCCACCTTGGTCCGATTCTGTTCCTGATATTCATTAATGATATTTCTTCTATAATAAAACATTCAAAAATTTTAATGTATGCCGATGATGTGAAACTTTTTAAAACATTGTCCTCTATCGAAGAAAGGTCTTTGTTACAAGCGGATCTGAACAACGTGGTTAGTTGGTGTAATACAAACTATATGCCACTAAACCTTCAAAAATGTAAAGTTATGTGTTTCTCTCGGAGGGCTGTTCAACCAGCTGTTTATTCAATATCAAATTATAATCTGGAGCAGGTATCCAATTTTGTCGATCTTGGTATCACAATGGATTCCAAACTGAATTTCAACCATCATATTAATGTTACAGTCAATAAAGCCAAAGGCGTTTTTGCATTTGTAAGGCGATGGTCAAAAGAGTTCAAAGATCCTTATGTTACAAAAGCTCTTTTTACCAGTTTAGTTAGACCTATACTAGAATACGGATCTATTGTTTGGAATCCCCGCTACCAAGTTCATTCAGAAAGGATTGAATCAATTCAAAAACAATTCTTGCTTTTTGCATTGCGTAATTTTAACTGGGATTCAGATTACAATCTCCCCCCTTACACAAGTCGTCTAAAGCTCATAAATTTGCCTACACTCGCAAGTCGTAGAGAAATGCTGGGTATAATATTTATCGTAAAATTAATGACAGGCTTGATTAATAGCCCGGCCCTCCTGGCTGAGGTAAATTTTAATGTTCCTTCTCGAATGTCAAGACACTTTCGACCTCTATTTTTAAAGCCATGCAAAACTAATTTTGAACTAAACGAATCATTCCGTGGTTTATGTCAAGATTTTAACTGTCATTCCAGCACGTTTGACGTATCGGACTCGATTTTTACTATAAAGAAAACTATTATTTCCACTCTCAATAATTGAAATACTATCTTTAGCATATCCAATCAGCTGATGAATTTGATTCTGTAGCTGAATAGTTTTAGATCTCGACACTTAACAAACTCCTGTTTCCACTACTCGGCACGAAAAAACTAAAAAAAAAAAAACAAAAAAAAAAGGTTCCGTACGTCATGCGGACTGCGCCCCTTGTGTCGGTTGGGCGGGAATGGAGGGTAAAAAGCCGTTGGGATTATTAAATAAATAAAAGTGCATACTTACATATCGTCGCTTAAAGTACAAAACCGCGTATCGTCGTTCTGCAAAACCGCGTAACTGAAATTTTTTTCCAAAAATTGGATTTGCTCACACAAGCCCTTGGCTCAAGCCTTATCCATTCGTCCTGAAATGCGAATTTTTTGTAAAAAAGAGAACCATTTTGAAATATGAGAGTTTTTACTCACAACAAAATAATTTATGCAACCTCACATACGCAGTTGTGCATTTTGTTGATACACGGTTTTGTACTTTAAACGACGATATGTTAGTTGTTTATCGGAGGGCGGTCTGTTAATGTCGGCTTCAGGTGTTTTGCATAAATTAAAAACCTGTGAAATTTAATGATGATGTGCTAATCACAAAGCCTAATCTTTTGCAAAATCTTATGAGAAATTTAAAAGTAAATTTGAACGGAAATATAAAAAGGTTTTATTTGGGAAGAACATTCTTTAGAATTCGATTTTTAAATCGCAAGATTGCATTCTAAATAAGAAAACAAAAAAAATAACAGGATAATGCGCGCGTGGTTTTTGTTACAAAATGAAAAGAAAAATTACGGTGAAGTCTCTTTTAACATGTTTACATTTTAAATATTTTTAATAAAAAAAGTACCTGGCACTGATAATGGTTTTTGATTTGAAATGCTATTACTTTGGTATAAATATGGGAAAGCAAATACTCCGATTTATTGTTTTAATATTATCAAAGTGGCAAGGCCGTTGATAATACGCACAATTTATGAAACTTCAAAAAAATTTATTATCCGTCAAAAGTTGTTTATTGAAACTACCTTCTTTTTTGTATCATGATTTATACATTGGTTGGCGCATGCCGTATAGACAGTTTTGGGCAGAGAAACTTCTCTACATATTTGCAACTTAATTTGAGAAAAGGAGGAATTGCGCCCCTCTCCGATGACAAATTGATTCTTGGCAATGATTTTTCTTCCCATTACTCAAATAGTTTCAGATTGAGTGGTTGCTCTGAAGTGAGTGCCTCTAAAAAAAAATTCTAGGAATAGATTTTGAACCGAACACTTTAAAGCCATTTGTCGACTTGGCACTCACAACAGCACTCCGTCAATGTAAATATTTTGATATTTGCTCTGTCGCTTCGGCTCGTGCCTGTTCATTTCCAATTGAGCGCATTTAAGCGCCATTAAAGCGTGACTCAATTGAACTACACACATACATATATTTACAAAAGCATCTATGTAGGTACACACATATGTATGAGAGCAAAAAAAAACAAATATCGCAAGAAAATGATTGCCACTTGTCGTGTGAGTTTGACAGCGTACGCTAATTGTTAAAAAAGAAAATGTGACGTAGCCATAATTGAAACTGTCGCACTTACATACGTACATACTTAAGTATATATCAATGTGCACATACTATGTGTTTTTCACAAATGATCAGATTTAGCAAAATAATTTAATTGTATATTTAAATATTTTAAATATTTTTGTATGACTCATCATTTAAAATTTTTATATGATTTCTCAGCCGAAGTTGCTTTGTATTCAAACTGTGTTCAGTTTTTAAAATTCTCTAGTAAAAGAGACATCTATTCAGGCGGCAGAGAAAGGAAACTCTCAGACATTTAGTCTTTAATTTTATACATATTAAAAAGGAAGAGACTTCTTCAAATAAATTTTAAGCAAACAAATGGGTGTAATACACTATTAGAATTACATCCCATAGTACAGATGCTCACAAAACAATGTTTTCTCTAAAACCTAATAGATTAAAGAAAAAATATAAGCTGGGACAATCTACGTACATATGTATGTATGTACACACTGGCAATCAAAAGTGAGGTGATGGGCTTTTTGTTTAATAACTAAACTAACTAACTAACTAACTAACTAAAATGTTTCTCATGATACATTTTTTTTGTTATTTTTTATAAAAATATGGTTCATGGTTTAATCATAAATACTTTATACAGAACTTAGGAAAATTCAAAATATTTTTAGAAAAATGTTGAGTAAACGGCTAAAAAATCGCGTTCAATTTTAATGACTTTTGTGCTGACGGAATTTTTGGTTTTTCCATATAACAAGTGCAATTCTTAAAATATAGCGTTAATGTTTTTGTTTTGATTTTGATGGCAAATGGTCTTGCGTATTTTATTCTACAACACTTTTGTACCCTATATTTGAAAACTTGCAAGTTCTGTATAAAGTTTGAAACTTTGACTTATGTGGTTTTGATTAAAGCATGCACCATATTTTTATAAAAAAATAACAAAAAAATTTTTGCTTGAAAAGAATTGCAAATATTAAACAAAAAACACCATGTACTCACTTTTGATTGCCAGTGTATCACAGTCAAAGCTATTCAGTATGTCAAAGCTTTTTATATAATTTTTATAAAAACTTTAAAATCTCCGTCATCTGATCGAGTTTTATTTCCGAGGTATAAATTTTCCTTGCGAAGGAGCTGATTTATACTATACCCACAATAGGAAATTCTCTACATTCTTTAAAGGCGAAAAGCATTAATGTGCCTTGGGAAAAAGGAGGATGACGGGAAGAATACTCTCTGAAATATCGACCGCGCTGATAGCAAGGCTTAATTGCATACCAGCAGTTTGATAAAAATATCAAGCTATGTGTTGGTTGAGGTGGTATTCGCACGTAACTCAATCCACTTGTAGTTCCGACAGGGTCATAGATTGTGGGGGGTCAACCGTCACAAATGTTTCTCGCTTGGCTTAGTGCTTAGTAATTGATTTCCTTCTTATAAGACTTAACGATAGATAGGTCGATCTTCTGCTTAGGTGTCGATATATAGAGAAAATAGTTTCATTTGGTTTTAGTCAAATAAATCCCAGTAAAGGTGCTATTTCGACGGGGTCGGAACCGAGGAAGAGGAGTGTTAGTTGAGTTGTGTTGAGTGGGCATTTGAAGAAGTAGTTGGTATCGTGGTAGGAAATCACCATATGCTTCACACTAATTCGGTATGTTTCGGATACAGTGGTTGTTGGACGAGATCCAGTCTTTCAGTTCATAGAGATGCCTTCTGACGAGCCCAGGGTTAGTTTCCGTCTCGAGCAAATGTCTGTTCGGGTACTCAGATCTGTATCACCTTACCAGGAAATGCTTACAGCGCTCCTACACGATATTTATTTGCATATGTATAGGCTACTCTTCTTATATATGTTAACTTCATCCACCGGAGTTACGGAATTATCCCGATTTTAACTCGTAGCTCATCTCAAATTGAAATGCTAACTCGTGTGTGTTTTATCTCACTATCATTTCTAAACTTATCTTAAATAAGTCTCCTTATCGAGTTATAAAATATAATTAGATCGAATTCCGAGCTAATTTTCTTTTTGCAAATTGCTCTAATAAAACGTTGCGAAATTTGTTGTGTATGAGAACTACATATACATAGCGACAGTCGCTTCCTGTCATTAGTGAGCAGACTTATTTCGGAGATAATTTTTTAGTCAATTTGGCATCAGAGCTCCACTGAAAATACCAACGCAAATCATATACGCCGTACAAATACAGATGTGCATGTAAATATATATTATGTCCCATGGCGCTCATCAACAATTATTTTCACATTAATAACGAAGTCTACTAAACGCAGCGAGGCGACGAGGCTAAGCGAAAACCGAGACATCGACTTGACATGCAAACAAAGTGTCTCGAAATGTATTTGTATGACTGAATGTAGCTTAGGAAACGAATGCTTTTCTGCATGTCTGCACTCTTTAAATCACTATTTTGTATTACCGCATCTGTGCTAAGTTTCTTACAAACCTACAAATTGCCATTAAAAGTAAAGCGAAGCCAGCGCAAGTGATTTCATTGCTACTTTTTAGTCATTACTTATTCTACTCTTTTTTTGTCTGTTTGTTTTTTCCTACGTATGTATGTACTTACTTCACGCTTTAGTAACGACCGACAGCGGAAGCTCCATCTGGCTGAACGTCGCCGCTGGTGGCCAGCGAAAGACGGCGCAAAAAGGGCAGATATATTTCATCAAAAGAAATGCATTGCCGGTTGACAACTGCAGACATGATAAGGACAAATCGTCTGCCTTCATAAATAAATGCACACACATACAAACAAACATGCATGTATACATACACGTAAATATATATGTATGTAAATGTGTGCAGTCAACTGGCTTACGCTGACACAAAGTGAACGTTGACATGCCTTTGTCACGAATAGTTAACTCAATAATAATGGCAAAAACATCAGCATGAAAACATGAAAAGCAAAAACAAAAACAAAATTATGCGTATCATAATTTGAGATTTATTGTGTAAAACTAAAAATAAATAAAAAAATTTACAAATATTTAAAAAAAGTAGTTCAACTGCTTGGCTGGAGTTAGCGTGGCTTGGCTTGCATGTATTTGTCACAGCTCAAGGTCACATGCGCTTTGTGTGTAACGATGGTTTATTGCCTCATCAAAAGCTTTCCAAGAGCTTTGTATGACTCTCGCCAAGTACTGCCTTCGGTTTATGTAAATGAGGCGTGTTTTGTTAGTTTTATACATTTTTTTCTTTTTTATTTTTCTTCAAATCTGTGCTATGCAAATCAAACGTCACACACAATATATCATTTGTGCTCAATAGCCCGTGAAGCGACTCGATAAGTGTGGATTTAACATAAAGTTGTCTTCGAATTGTATACGAATCTAATTTTTAGCAGTGTGCTTAGAAGATACAAATTAATTTTCTTATATAATTTTCCAACATTTAGCATATTTCGTTTAATTTACTTGTGCTCAGCAATGCGTGCCTCGCGCGGTTGGCAAATTTTGTATGAAACGAAATACTTAAGCAACGAACTTCAACCCAATTTTATTATTACTATTTTTTGGAAAAGTCACGTCTTTAAATCAATACATATGTATGTATGCATATAATAAAATTGAACAGGCTGATGTCTGTATTTATTAGAGCAATAGAAGCCAAATCTAAAATTTTTTAGAATATTTGTCTGGCTGTCTGTATGTTTGTTCGAACATCACTCAAACCTTAATGCTTGAAATGGAATGCAGTTTTAACTGGTTTATTGCTAGAGGTATACGTTAAGATATAGAAAAAATGATAATTAGGGAGTTGCTACTTGTTGGAAAATTGCAGTTTAAGTGAATTGTTAAGATAAAGTAAATATTGCAGTATGGAAGTCAAAAGAAAGAGGTTTAAGAAGGCTTACAGCCGAAAATATTTTCATGGAAGGTTGCCACCTGCTTGAAAATTTTAATTTAATTTAATAGATGAAATTAATTAATTATGAAAGTTTACTGCCGAAAAATATTTTCGAAGGCGGTTGCCACCTGTCTGAAAAATTTTATTCAATTTAATATCTAAAATAAACTAAATATTACAACACCAGTATCAAGATAAAGACTTTTAAGAAAGTTTACTGTTTCGAAGCGGGTATTTGAAAAATTTAATTCATTTAATTTGATAAGATAATGTAAATATTGAATTAATAGGCCTTTGAAGAAAACGCGCAATATATTGACTCGAGTTTTAAGATTATAAATTAAATTTCGAGAAAAACGCCGATACTTAACCTACTTTCTAAATGCCTTGGTGTATTAACTAACACCATAATTCAAGAAAAAAAGAATGCTTCATAAATCGAAAATTTGTTTGAAAATCTCACTTCATAAAGCTCCTAAAATCTTTTGGGAAGGAATAACCACACAAAAATACGTCTAAGGCACATTGAAGCACGCTTGGTATTTGCTAGTACGTATAGTATATAAAATATATGGCAGTTTTTCCATCTTGATTATATGAGCTTTAGATATACATCTTATAAAGGAATTATTGGCGGCTTATTTTCGATTGTTGAACGAAAAATTACACTTAAGATGACGCAATTCTGAAAGCGGTTTGTCTCCAAACCAAAATTGATAAGGCATGACGGAAACTTATTCCAAAATAAATCGATTTGATGCTTTAAATGTATCACTTCTGGATGAGTTTGTGTTTTGCAAAACATCTAAATATTTGATTGATTAAATTTTTGATTCAACATAAGAAAAAAAGTTCTAGATTCAATTTTTTATTTTATGAAAATTTCATTTAGAATTCCCTTAATTCATATAATTTTTTCTTTTTCTTCCAGGACTTTTACTACATTACCTTCGGTTACCCCGAGAAGGAATTGAACACAGATATAGCTTTAATAACTGGTGGAGGCAATGGACTTGGCCGATTGCTCGCTCAACGTTTGGGTAAAATGGGCACCAAAGTTATCGTTTGGGATATTAATAAAGAAGGTAAGTATGCGAGACACAAAAACTATAAGGAATTGTGACATGAAAGGAAGAAGCATTAAAAAAAGTAAAGGATGTTAACGCACAATTTTTTCAAAAGTTTTCACTTGTGGTACTTCTTATGTACTTAAGAAGCTCACAGAAAAAGCAGGTGCAATATTTTGTAGTAATTTATTTATTGAAAGCAATCAGAGCGAAAATTGCTTTCCTCATCTGATAATAAATTTTTCAGATACAGGTTTTTTCGCTTTCTGACAAATGGTGAAATTCGAGTTAATATACTTTGGAAGAAAAGCTCATAAATTTATATAATTTTGATTTATTTGTTGCTATTCCAGGCATCAAAGAAACCATCGAAATCGTCGAAACTGATGGCGGCTACTGTAAAGGATATGTTGTCGATATTTCAAAGAAGGAGGAAGTTTACAAGGCAGCTGAAGTATTGCGGAATGAAGTTGGCGACGTAAGTAATCAGAGTTTAAGTAACAAAGCTCTAAAAAGGTATATTAAATCTACTAATACCTAACGATTAAATTATAATTCTTGGAGCACTTTGATATTAAAAGTCAACTTAAGTAGAAAACTTCCTTAGCACCTTTAATCTTAATTTTAACCCTTTAACTGCCAACTGGTTCAAAAATTACGGTACGACGAAAAGCTAAGAGACTAAACAATTTTACGTTAAATAGTTCGTTAAATTGTGTCAACAAGAAGCGGTTTAGTGTAAGAGAAACGAGCCTGATCGAAGTTCTTGTTCTTCTTTCATCAGTTGAGCTAGAGGGCAGTCCATTCTCTCAAAGCATCAAAGCCATCGAATAAGCACACCGGTTCTTATGACAAAGCTTGCTTACTCTGCACGGGACGCAGTGGACCTTTGAAAAATACAGAATCTGCACTCAGTACATTTTTCATAACTGATTAAGAATTTTTTAAGCGAACGAGCCAACTACTAATAAAGATTTGATGCACAGGGTTAACTTTTTTCCTTATTTTCAAAGACTTTATCTCAGACCTGCCTTTGTAGCAAATACAGGGAGAACGAAACTCTCAATAAATTTCTGCGACTAGAAAAAATCTCATGATGCCCTAAAATATGATACAGTTTCCAAAGAGGGGGAAACGGTGGTACCAAAAGGTCCAAAGTTAGGGGGATGCAAAGCTTTAAACATTATAAAACTGCAGGACCAAATCAGTATCAGTTTTGTAAAAATTCTGGTATTGCATGCTTTACTGGGCAATATTTTGTTAACTTTGGTTACCAACGCAAAATAGGCCTGATAGAAGTTACTTTTGAAAGAATTTATCTTTTTGACCTCCAGGCAAGCTTGACTTCGATGAGCTGAAAAAAGCTACTCGAATACCTAATATTCTCTCCGAATAAAATTGAATGCGAATTTCTATGAAGCTTCAAGACGCATAACAAATCAACCGCTCGCATTCTAAAGTAGTTCACTAACTCGTTACTCTTAACTTCCTCTGTTTAACCTCAGCAGTAAATGAAACACTTTTAAGCTAAATATTGCTTAAATTTTAGTACGTAACCATTTGCATTAAAATCTCAGTCGACCTTGAAAGTTTGTATGAAGTGTCGGTTAAGGGCACAGAAGTGCTACAGAAGCGCACACAACACAACAAAGCCGCTCACTCGTACTTCAACTTGACTTGTGACCCTATTTCATTTATGTAAATACATATGTACATATGTACATATAGAGTTACTTTATTGCATGCAACGTGAACTTGCTTATCTTATCCGTTATTCTTTTTTTTTCATTTTTCCACGTCAGAGCATAGCCTACCACTTCTTTTCAATGCAAACGGCAGCTGTTGCCGTTATTGTTTGTTGACATGATTACGTGATTTAATATATTTAAATGCCAGCGCAGTTGACACCCATCAAATTTAATTAGTGCTTAAAGACTAGTTATATTTGCTTATGCAATTCAACGCGCTTCAATGAAGAAAGAATTCAAGCACTCAATGCTTTAAATTAAAGAAAAAAAACTGACTGAACGAGAAAACCTCTTTTAGACAGGACAACAGCAACAGCAACAGCAGCAGTCGTCTTCTTTTATGTTGATAATTTTTAGCAGAAAAGAGTTAAAATATACCAGAAGCGGTTTTGTTTTAAATAGAATGACTACGGGCATTTCTTTTTTTATATATTAAGATTAAAAATTAAACAATTAAAATTCTAGATAACTTAGCCTTCATAGTTGACAAGTTATTGCACAATATTTTCAAGTTT